GCACGCACTTCGTAAAAGGTGCTTGTAGCCTCCAGGGGAAGCTGGAGGATTTTTTCCCCCCTCTATTTCCTCCTTTTCTCTATCTTGTGACATTCGCGTGTTGTCTTCCTCATCTCCCTGTGCCCTTGCTTTGCAAGATCAATTATGATCGACAAATTCTCCTGTTCAGAACTCATTTAAGCTGCTTGATCTGCTGGTAGATATACAGCCCCCGTGGTCCCAACCCAGGACTCCTACAATTTCTCTCACATCCCATCATTAACCCAGTCTGTGATGATGCAGAGTACCTGAGGAATACATACTTTGAATGATGTACTTGCAGCATGATAGGTACTAGTAAATTAATATAATTTCTATGGACATTTAAATTAGGTTCTGAAGACCAAACTAAGGCAGTAAATGACAAACATTTTATGCGCACGTTCCACATGATTCTTTGTGCTTATACAGGAAATGAATGGAAAAGTCTGTATCCTACATATTGAATCCCACACGTTTTTCCAGACGCTTAGTCTGAAACACAAGTGTCAATTGCCAAATATTCAAAAAACCTCTTACAGAGGGCTCCTCCCGCCTCCGTCGTCTTTAAGCCTGGGAAGAAATAATTTCATCATGTCATTTAGTTTAATTGATTCACTTTAACGACTTCCTATAAAAACACAAACGTTGTTTTGCCTTGCTGTTGCTTGTGGTAAAATATGGCAGCATTCAGGAAAATAAAAATCCACAGAAAGCAGCAAAGAAATCCTCTCGCTTAACCCAATTATGAAAGTCGGAGAGAAATCATATGATTCTGCATCTTCATTTGAGCTTCCCTCACTGCCTGAATGAATAAACAGCCTTCAGAGTGAATATACCCAATTGTATATCATTTTCAAGGCGAGTGGGTTTTTTTCCCAACCAAAACCTCCTCTTTCATTTCTTATAGCCTGTCCGACTGTTAACCCTGCGTGTGTGTAAACTCTGCCACCTCCATGATTCAGATGTGGATGAAAACTCTCCCTGAGCCTTCATGAATTATTCAAGAGCACATATAATGTTGGCAAATTATTTTATAAAGTGAAGAAAGATTCGTCTTTGGGGCAGGAATTGGGTAGGGAGAAGCTAATGTGTTTATTATGCCAAGATAATGGTTTGAAATGGAGGCCATGGGGAGGAGTATTTGGAGGAGTGTTTATATTTTATATTCATTGGAGGGTGGCATCTGAATGCCTGATGGTCACATGATGGCAGATGTCTTTTTAATGCACTATGTGTGTCTCTGTGTGTATTTTGTGCATATATTTAGATGCAGGTGTGTGTGTGTGTGTGTGAGAGAGCGAGAGAGAGAGAGTGAGGGTGCACACTTAGTCATCTTTCTACCAGTGCACTGCATGTGTATTTTGTATGTAATTAATTTCCTTAAATCTTCAAAAATTAAAGTTCCACAAAAAGAATGAAAATGCATTAATTTGCCTGTAAATACTTAAAATTGAGAAAAAATATATACGTTTTTGGTACACTGTAAAATACTATACCAATAATTTCCAGAACAAATCTCCAAAAAAAAAAGGTTTCTCAAATTGACTAAAAATGCACTCATTTGCCTTAAAATACTTAGCTATGTCCATTTTAATGGTTAAAATTGAGAAAAAATGTACGTTTTTTGGTATTACAACTTTTGATCACAGTAAAATACTATACCACTAAGTTCCCGAAGTAATCTCCGAAAAAAAAAGTTTCTCAAAAATGACTAAAAATACACTAATTTGCCTTAAAATACTTAGTTATGTCCATTTTTGTGGTTAAAATTGAGAATTTTTTTTTTGTATTTCAACTTTTAATAACAGTAAAATACTATACCAATAAGTTCCCAAAGTAATCTCTGAAAAAAAAAGTTTCTCAAAAATGACTAAAAATACACTAATTTGCCTTAAAATACTTAG